CTGACCTGACTCTTGAGTTACAAGAAATTACAGCAATACAGAAATGTAGAAGCAAACAGGCAAATAAGCAAATGGTCTCCGTATTGTGATTGACGGTGGGACCGAGAAGAGAGAATAAAGGCAAAACATCTGGTTCTGTTTTCCCTTGTAAAATTGTCTCCTGCACTGACCAAGCAGGGTCTTCTCTGTAATGACTAAATGCAGAAGACTCAGACACACACATGGTTGTTATCGAGCAATATTGTGCAAAATTAAATTGGCTACTTTAGGGTAAAAAACAGAGCCAGAGAGCAGACATTCCAAACATGTGCACTCCTTTTGGTGAGATCTGGAAGCCATCACGGTCCAAGGATGGCTACTTCAAACTATCTACAAATAGTAAAAAAAAAAAAAAAAAGGTTGCTCAATCACATGAATACACAGGGCTGTCTTTAATAAAGTTATCAAGAGCATAAAAGTAAAGGGGACGGGCACAGGCTGAAACTAATAAGCTGTTTGGTAAGCTTGAGATAGTTCATATGTGCAAAACATTCCTCAAAAGGCAACCTGAAAAGACAAAACACCATACTAAATTTACTAACTGTAGCAAGATGTGGAGGAAACTTTCCCCTTGGCTAGGCTTAAGTGGCTCAACTAGAGGCTGCATTCAGGATGTGAGCATCTCAGATATGAACAGAATATTATGACTATCTTCTTTCAGAAGCTGTCAGTCTCCCTTGCTATATATGACCAGCAAAAGCATTTTTTCCACACCCTGGAGATACAGGTATCTTAAAATTGGTACTTCCAAGTTACCAAAACATAACGGAGTGCATCCAGTTAAGAACAAGAACACATTAACTCATCAAATTTGCAGATGACACTAAGCTGGCAGGAATAGCCAACACCCTAGATGATAGGCTCAAGATCCTGATAGATCTCGACAGACTTGAACAGTGCGCCCTTTCTAACAAAATGAAATTCAACGTAGAGAAAAGTAGTTTTACACTTAAGCAAGAAAACCCAAAATTACATGTACAAATTAATAGTTACTCAATAGCAGTAACTGTGAGAGGGATCTCGAAGTCCTAGTGGACAATCAATTAAATATGAGCCAGCAGTGTGTGGTAGCAGCCAAAAAAGCCAATGCAATCCTAAATTGCATTAACAGAGGGACTGAATCAAGATCACTTGAGGTACTACAGTAATACCCCTCTATAAAGCCTTAGTAAGGTCACACCTAGAATACTGCATCCAGTTTTGGTCACCACACAATGAAAAAGATATTGAAATTCTAGAAAGGATGCAGAGAAGAGCAACAAAGATGATTAGGGACCTGGAAGGTAAAACATATGAAGAACGGTTATAAGAATTGGGCATGGCTAGTCTAGTGAAGAGAACGACCAGGGGAGACATGATAGCAGTGTTCCAATATTTGAGGGACTGTCATAGAGAAGAGGGGAACAACCTATTTTCCAAAGCATCTGAAGGTCAGATAAAGAACAATGGATGGAAACTGATCAATGAGAGATTTAATCTAGAAATAAGGAAAAAAATTTCTGACAAGAACAAAGAACCAATGGAACAGCTTGTCTTCAGAGGTTGTGGGTGCTTCATCACTAGAGGCTTTCAAGACAAAACTCGAGAGCCACTTGTCAGAAATGGTATAGGGTCTCCTCCTTTAGCAGGGGGTTGGACTAGATGACCTACAAGGTCCCTTCCAGCTCTGTTATTCTATTCTATTTGCATGCCTTCAGCCTTTTTGCATGCCTTTTCAGCCTTAATAGGATTTAAGTGTCTTAATTATGCTTGGATTCATAGCCCGAAGGAACGGTCTTGAGGTGGGCCAATTTCACTCAGGTAAAGGTATTATCCTGCTTCAAGGTGAGCTGTACTGAACTTCAGGTAATTTCATAAACATGTCTAAGCAATTTTCTTGGCAATGATATGGAGATGGGTTGCCACTTTTTTCTGCCTGGATTTTATTTGACTTCCCAACCCAGCCTACACTCCTGGGAGCTCCTAGCAGTACTTTTATCTACCAATACATGGCATAATAGAGGCTTTGTCTTTTGTTGGAAACATGGGTTCAATTTGTTGGCCACAGACATGGGGCTTTTATAATAGAACGCTGAAATACAGGGTCATCCTCTATGTATCACCGCAGTTGAGCTCAAAGTTTCTGTGATTAAGCAAAACATTTATTAAGTGAATTTTGCCCCATTTTATGACCTTTCCTGGCATAGTTGTTAAGTGAATCATTGCAATTCTTAAGTTAGTAACACAGCTGTTGAATGAATCTGGCTTCCTCCTTGTCAGAAGGTTGCAAAAGGTGATCACGTGACCCTGGGACACTGCAGCCATCATAAATATGAGTCAGTTGCCAAACTGACTGAATTTTGATCACCTGACCATAAGGATGCTAGAATGGTGGTAAGTGTGAAAAACAGACATAAGTTACTTTTTTCAGTGCTGTTGTAACTTTGAACAGTCTTTAAATGAACTACCTGTATAAGCTTGTATATATAAGTCACAAAGTCTTTGACTGACACCTGCCATTAGATAACTCTCAAGAACAAAAAAAATTTTTTACATGAACTTCTAAGGTGGATCATTGCTCAAAAGTCCCATATTCACTATATTTACTCAAGATGCTTGCTGAACCATGATTTAGGAAACACATACACAACAGGCTAAATTAAACCATGGCTGATCAACTACTTTCTGGTAGCCACAAAAAGGAAATACTTTTTTAACGGAACATGTGGCATGAACCCCCCTCTATTTCCTAGGGATGAAAACATTCAAAAGAGCAATATAGCCATTCAAAGAGCTAGTCATATAATCTATTAAGCAAAGCTTCCTGGTTGATGAAACTGTGCAAGCCACCATCTTCAGAGGGCCCCCATGTGGCCCTTTTACCACAATCCCAGGTTTAATTGAGACTTTGTGTCTCATCTGAACTGGGACCAGCTGTTGGTTGCAGTTTGCAGGAAATGGAACTTGAAACCAAAATTGTACACTCCTGTTAACTATTAAAGTGGCCCAGCGGAGTGTATAAATCAGTCTGAATTACCTCTGCTGATGGCAAAAGCTTTTTGAGGGATTCTGCTTAACGGAAGTGGACCTCTCTCTTTCTGAAAGGGATACAAACACCTCTTCACACAGATGCCAAGTTGAGTAGAAACAGCATTGCGAAGGCTAAGAGTAGCCAGGATTTCATCTAATAAAAAAAACACAAGCCTGTAATATTAAATCCCTGATTGTTTTTTAATTGCATACATTACAGAAATACTACATTAGTAGAATTGTGGGCACTTAAAACAGCTTTGATTTTTCCTAAGCATATATTGTTATTTTATGGTTGCTTTATGTATGTAATGAGAAACAGAACAAGGAAATACAAAATGTAAATCTTTAAATGAACACGAACACCAAAGAGATGCCATATAACTTTCTGAACAAATAGGAGGAACAGAATCTCTGAGAGTTAAGAGTTGTGGGTTTAATTTTGTATCTCCCAGACTTAAGAGCTGTGGAATGTGATATGTTGAGGTAGCTCAAGAAAAGTGATGCTGATTTGTTTTTTTTCCCTTATGGTGTATATTTTGATATCTATATTCGCATCAGTTTTCCTTAGGACAACAAAGAGGCAGATTATTTGTCTTCATCATTTATTTGTCTTTTCAAGCTTAGGTTTTTCTTTACAAAGGATGTTAATGTACATCCCTTCTCCACCTAGAGAAGAAGTCTTTGAACCGCCAATGCTCTAGTGATATCTCTTCCTGTCTTTCTGATATCTCAGAAGCTTCCATTCTATTGTACTGCCGCCTTTTTAAAAAAAAATCACACTTGATTATATAGAGTATATTTTTATATAAAGTCTCAATAGTTCCACTAGTTTTGAGGTTCCCAGGAAGAAATAATTTATTGCAGATGTGGATGGAGAGAGAGAGAGAGAGAGAGAGAGAGAGAGAGAGAGAGAGAGAGAAATAGAAATAGATAGATAGATAGATAACATCCCATTATTGTGGATGTAATTGTATTGTGTTTAATTTTTTTAATAAAACAAAATATTCCAGTTGTAGAGTTTATTTTTATTAGTTTGTTGATTAGTCAAAACCTATAATAAAAATCAATTCCTTCATATTTCCCTAGATATGTTGAAACCTCTAAGTAGCTCCAGCATTTCCTACTTTAAAGGATAGCAGTTGACTCAGAGGTTCTTCCAGGCAGAGAGGTATGCTGCCAATGCTGAGAATTTGTATGAAAGAAATTTAGCATTTTGCTAGACTTGTTTTTAAAGTGAAGGAGATATGATGGAGTACACACTTGTCAGTTTTTCTGGCTTTCCATTAGTAGCTGGACTGGAGTCAAGGTACTGGTTCTCATTGTTTTAATGTTCTTCACAGCTCTGCTTTTGCATTCCTAGAGAAATTATTTCTTTTTATTCTTAATCATACACAGGGAAAGAACCAAGGATAGCTAAGAGCTGTGTTCACACAACACATATAACCAAGTCAATTAAAGGCCTAGCAACTAAATTTCTGTAATAGGCAAAACTGAGCAACATTTAACTTAGGTTACTTTTTTGGCATCTTCGCGCAGTGTACAAATCCAACCCATTTGGTTGTGCAAGGCAAACTTGGAATGTGGCTCAATTCAGTAACCTAGTTAAGCATGTTATGCAATGCAATCAAAGTGCACATTTGTTTGAGGTAAAGTTAACACTTATTTTGGCCCTCATTTTAATGAAATTAGTGTGAAAATGGCTGATTTGGCAGTACATATCAGCAGTGTAACCTGGAGGGGTTTTTAAGGCTGCCAAAATGGGATGAGAGTGTGATGTGACCACAGATTGCAGACTGGCCAAGATTTGCTTTTCTTTTTCCTTGCAGATCAGCTCACAACTCAACTGTTTCGTCCTCAATAAAACAGCTTGAAAAGGCGATTCAGGCGGCAATCCAAAATACATCAAAGCAAGGAGAGGGGCTAACTTTTTAGCAGACATAAAGGGCGTTATAATACCTTTAGCTTCCAGTGCAAATCTACCCACCAGTTTATTTCGCGTATGGCAAAAATGTTAAAAAGCAGATCACAGTTACATTCTCAAATGAGCAAATATGAAACTACTTACTCTAGTTACAACTTCAAAGGTAAACTCTTTATGTAGTAGATATATGATGGAATTGCATACTGAAAGTCCCTGATAGGCACTCCAAGGCTCTATTCCAGAGGTCCCCAAACCCCGGTCCGTGGACCAGTACCAGTCCGTGGCATGACAGCAACCGATCCGCACAAACAAGCAAAACCCCATTCATGGGATGCAGGCAGCAAACAAAACTCTCTTTACGCACTCTCCAATCCAAAGAAAAACCTTTCTCCATGGAACTGGTCCCTGGTGCCCAAAAGGGTGGGGACCATTACTCTATTCCAAAGCTACATTCTAGTAAAAGGGGACTAGTGTTAAGTGCTGCATTAAGTTAGGAAGCGTAGCCATACTCCTGCACAGGGTCAAAAAAACCCCACTTTACCAAGTTAAGAAAAAAATAGAATCTATCCCTTTAATTCCTTGCTTGTTCCCATTCCATTTAGAATCACCCCTTTAACTCTTTGCCAGTATAACATTTCCACTATGCTTTTTTCTAAAACGTTATTCTAACTCTTGGAATTTTTTTTGTTTTACTTAACATCTATAGATAGTAATTTATAAACAAGCATTTTATATGATTTTTTTTTCATGATTCCTGGTTTCCCAAGACAAACTCTAGAACAACTTCTGCAAGTTGTTGGTAAACACAGTATTAAATAACTGTGTGTGTGTGTGTGTAATGTTGCCAGATGCTAAAATAAATAACATTTAAAAATTAAAGAAAATCAGCATTATTAGTTATGGATGGAATGGAGCAATCATTTCAAGATTTCTTTCTAGGAGTTCATGATTTTTTTTTTTTTTTTTTTTTTTTTTAGAACAACAGGAATGCACAGCTTAATGAATCAGAGAACGGAAGATCTTAAACCTCCTCAGGATAGGAAAGATTTATTAGGATTCAGGAGACCCTGTTGGAATTGTGGATCTAAGGAAACATTCACAGCTGGGACTTTGTTCTCCCTCACACGGTTGTGGAAAGCCAGGCTGAATTTGGGAGAGGATATTAGGCCCATCCTCAGCAGGATGACTTGGATATGCCGGTTAGTATTAAAAAGCAATTTAAAAAGCATAATGCACAGAAAGCACCTAATTTTACAGCCAGCTGGGTGTTAAATTAATTGTGCATATATAGAAAGCAGCAGAAGATGAGAGAATGAGAGAGTCGGCCTTTGAAGGTATGTGCCGGGTGGGGGGGGGAAGCCCCTTTGTTTCTCTGCTCTGAGGTGACTTTAGTCACCCTCATAAAAGATGCTTTGGTCAGCAGTGAAATGATATAGCAAAAGATTAAAGTAATGCCTTTCTGGCTGACTTGATGTGGAGTGTTGGTTATGAAATCATATTCAAGGGCTGGGCATTTAAAAAGCCCATGGTTGCAAGAGTGTGTGAAGAATAGGATATACAGAAAGACACCATCCCAGGGACAATTTTTATATGCTCATTCCATTAAGATTTGATCCTGTCACCCTGAGCAGAAATGGTTTGCAAAGAACTTAACTTGATAGCTACACATCTCCAAACAGGTTGTGAGGCATTCAAGATCCACATATTCTACCTGACATTCATGGACTCCTACATATTTCTATGTTCATAATCTATTACAGGGGTCTCCAAACCTGATGACTTCAAGACTTGTGGACTTCAACTCCCAGAATTCTTCAGCCAGCCACAAATTCTGGGAGTTGAAGTCCACAAGTCTTAAAGTTGCCAAGTTTGGAGAGCCCTGATCTATTACATGCACTCATTTACCTATTCCCAATAGTTTTGTTGTCCCAGCTTCCCAAGTCAAGAGTCCCTGAATTTGGAATTCTACATCTAACTATTACTACCAAGTACAGGTGGTCCTTTACTTATAACCATTTGTTTAGTGACCGTTCAAAATTACAACAGCACCGAAAGAAGTGATTTATGTCTATTTTTCACACAACCATTGCAGAATCCCACTTGTCACATGATCAAAATTCGGACACTTGGCAACTGCCATATATTTATAATGGTTGCAGTGTCCTGGAGTCATATTATTTACCTTTTGTGACCTTATGACAAGCAAAGCCAGATTCACATTACATCTGTGTCAAGAAAGGTTATGAAATGAGACAAAACTCATTTAACAACTCTTCTTTAGCAATGTAAATTTTGGGCTCAGTTGTAATTGTGAGTCGAGGATGACTTGTGGCCTAGTGGTTAAACCTTGGGCCCAAGTAACTAAGATGTAAGATCCTTTTCAGCCCTTTGGGTTCAAACAGGATTCCTGTTAGGATGATCAAATGAACACCATGTAATAGCCTGATGAGGATTATTATTATTTTATCATAGATTAAAGTTTTGTGTGATTTCCGTTCACATTTTGTTTGCCTTCCAGAGTTACTGTGACAAGAAGAACAGCCATATAAATAGCAATGAATAAATAATATTCTGATCAGAATCAAATCAGCTTTTTTCTTAAAAAAAAAGAAAAAGGAATGAGCAGGAAGTGCAAATGATTGCCGCAACTGCTGTTCTTCCCCTGTGGAGATTTAGCCATTACACTGAAAGCTGCTTCTCTGATGAATTTTATCCCTCTTTGTAACACTTTTCTGTCTTTCTATCCAATTATCCCTTCTTCTCATCTTAGCTCTATCTTGCCTTTCCCCTTCCCTTTTCACCTACATTCTTCTCTCACTCCGTCTCCATCCTGCTTTTTTCTCTTCTTCTTTTCCATGGGAAGGAGTGAGGAAATCAAATTGTTTTAATGGAGGAGCTGATTCAATAAACAATTAAATTTAACCCATGACTCTGGTGTTTTGGCTCTGGTGCTGCCGTTTTTGCACAGTGCTGCAGATCAAAGGGGAGCAGACTGTGTTCCATTTTTTAAAAATTTAGAACTGAGAGTTAAATGCAGTTTGAGTGGAATTTGTTTTGGAAAGAGGGGGTCAACCTATTCTCCAAAGAACCTGGAAGAAGAACAACAAGCAATGGGTGGAAACTAATCAAGGAGAGATCCAATCTAAAACTGAGGAGAAATTTCCTGATAATTAGCACAATTAACTAGTGGAACTGCTTGCCTTCAGAGCTTATGAGCGCTTCATCACTGGAGGTTTTAAAGAAGAGATTGGACAACCATTTCTCCAGAATGGTAGAAGGTCTCCTGCTTAAGAAGGGGGTAGACTAGAAGACCTCCAAGACCTCCTTCCATCTTTGTTATTCTGAAATCTAGCCTGGGTGGTGGGTGGAACAGAGAGCCTATCTGATCAATATTCTAGGGGAGTTAAATTGCTGGATTGTATAGCAATTGATTTTTCCTCAATAGAAGTCAACAGTTAGGGCAGCCTTTTCTCATGATGATTCCTGGGCTTTGTGGCTGCAGTCCTACTTTTGGGGAAGAAGGACATGTCAGATGGTTGGGAATAAGTGACATCACCTTGTTGCCACTCCTCTATTACTGGAAGCAAGTCTTTTTTTTTCTTTGGAAAAGTAAAGAATTATGTGTTCAGGTGAGCAATTGTCTACTCTTGACTAGTCAGTTAAAATTTCCTCAACTGAAGCAATGTTATGTATGGGTGCAATACCTAGGTGCATAGTTCAGGATGCACAACTTGCTACAAAGATACATTTTGGTCCTCATATGGCAACACTCTTCACAGTACAGGTAGTCCTCAACTTGCGATCACAACTGAGCCCAAGATTCCTGCTGATAAGTGAGACATTTGTGAAGTGAATTTTGGCTCATTTTATGACCTTTCTTGCCACAGTTGTTACGCGAATCGCTGCAGTTACCCAGTTGTCAAATGAATCTGGCTTCCCCATTGACTTTGCTTGTCAGAAGGTCACAAAAGGTGATCACATGACCTTGGGACACAGCAACGGTCATAAGTAGGAACTAATTGCCAAGCATATGAATTTTGATCATGTAACCATGGGGATGCTACAGTGGTTGTGTGAAACATGGTCGTAAGTCACTTTTTTCATTGCCATTGTAACTTTAAATGGTCACTAAATGAACTGTTGTAAGTCGAGGACTGCCTGTATCAAGTAGAAGAAAGATGAACTGATTTTTCTAGTTCTAGATAGAATTCAACTCAGCAAATATGGTGGCTGCCTCTTGTGGCATTTCCCTTTTCTCTCTCTCTCTGTCTGTCTTTCACACACACACACACACACACACACACACACACACACACACACACACACTCTGTCTCTCTCTCTCTGTCTGTCTTTCACACACACACACACACACACACACACACACACACACACACACAGTTTTTCAACTCATTTAATATTAACAGGGCTTCTGATTTATAAATGAACTAACTCCTGTACTGAATGCAGGCTGGATAAAATAATGAAGAAGAAAAGGCATGGGTTGCTAAATCTCTTTTGTTCGTCCAGGTTCTGTATGCAGTGAGCATTGGGATGGGGGAGGGCAGCCATCTTCTCTCTGCATTGTCACTGAACCTTGCACAAGTGGAGGTGCCTGCACAGGTTCTCAATGGGGTAAGTTGTGGGGCAGAACTGCCCTCCATTGCTTTGCATTAATTATAGGCATATCCTGAATGATGGTAAGGGAAAAAATGGAGAAGCTCAAAATCAGCACTGGATTCAAAAGCTGGCATGTATGTTTCTTAAGAAGGTTTTTTTTTTTTTAAAAAAAGCAATAATTGCACATTGAACCAGAAGATAAAACAAACAAGCATGCAATGGGATTAATTTTAATGTAGCCTCCAAATTAATTATCACGGTGCTGCTGCTGATGATGATGATAAAGGAGAAAAAAAGAAAATAATATGCAACAGGAGGAAAGATCTGGAAAAAAAACCATTAAAAATAATTTCAAAAACGTTGATCGTATTGCTTGAAAATCTTCTTGCATGCCTTCTGTCAAAACAAAACAGAACCCAATTCCAATACTGACAAACACATTTCTACACTTTGCTCCAAACTGGATAATGGTGGATTAGATTGACACTCTGTCTTTCATTCAGGATCTCAAAATTGTAAAGTGAATCACTGCAGTTAAGTGAATTACAAGGACATTAAGCGAATATGGCTGTCTTTCCTTGTCAGAAGCCAGCAGGGACCATGGACGAATGGTTACAAAAGCTGATGGAATTAGCAGAGATGGCCAAATTGACTGTATTGATAAAAGAAAAGAACATAAGTACTCTTGTTTCTGCTTGGAAACCGCTTCTGGACTTTGTGCTTGAGGTAGAAAAAAATGATATCATGATTTTGGGTTTTACCAATTAGACTGATTTGCCGATACAGAAATGGCTAGTGCATACTACTATAGAAAACGCAAAAAGTTGAGATTTGATTTTAATGTCTGATTTTACTGCAACAGAGAGAGTTGGAAGTCAATGCCTTTTGTTTCTCCTTACTTCACACATTTTTTTGTTTCCCCTTTTTCTACAGTTGTCCCCTACTATTTGCTTTTGTATGTTAACATTTTATGTTATAAATGAACAAAACTTAATAATAATAAAAGAAGAAGAAGCTGGCAGGGAAGGTCACAAATGGCAAACCCATGACCCTGGGATACCATCATAAGTACGTGCCAGTTGCCAAACATTCAAATTCCGATCATGGGATCAGGGGGATGCTGTGACAGTTATAAGCATGAGTACTTATTGTAAGTCACTTTCTTCAATGCTGTTATAACTTTGAACGGTCACTAAACAAATGGCTGTAAGTTGAGGACTAGCTGTATCAGCTCCCTATTTCACCTTTCAATGGTATATTACCATATTTACCGGCGTATAAGACGACTTTCTAAAGCATGCAAATCGGCTCCGAAGTCGGGGGTCGTCTTATATGCTGAGTTGTCTTATATGCCGGAAATTACAGTAGTTTCCGGCGTATAAGACAACTTTCTAGGCATGCAAATTGGCTGCGAAGTCGGGGGTCGTCTTATACGCCGAGTCGTCTAATACACCAGAAAATACGGTATTATTATTATTTAGCAGCTGCCGTGCTCAAAAATTCTGGAGATCCTAACAAAGCTGAAGCACAAGGAATAAAGCCAAAAGAACATAAACATCTTGAACATACTGTGATCAACCAGGATCCTGTAGTTCTATTAACTATCCTGTGGGCTTTAGCTCAGAATGAAGAAAACACAGATTACAGTTTCAAAAACACATGTGAAGTTACTTCTTCAGCAGGTGAACTCTTTGGAAAAGGCTCTGTCTAACCCATTTTTTTTCCTATTGCACTGCACTTACTGGCCAGTAATTAGCTTTGCGAAATCCTGCACAGCAGTCCAAACAATCAAGGCCTGCAGTTTGGGAGGGACTGTTTCTGTGTGCCAAAACCCGAACAAATCTTTGTTTTAGCTCCTCCTGTGATCTTGCACGGTGGAGCTAAGAACCTGGATTAAGGAAGAGTAATAAGCTAGAGGAGAAAAACATAAAACATTCGCTCATTTATTTTAGATATGAAAGGGAAGGTGACTGTGGCGATAGCTTTTCTTTTTCTGATGATAAGAAGAAAACATTTGGAGTTGGGGTTTTTTTTTGTTTTTGTTTTTTTAAAGAGGACTTTAAAAAGACAGAAAATTGGCAACATCTGGGCCAAGCCAGAGAGAACGGATGAGGGAGAAAAAAAAAAAAAAAAGACAGAAGAATAAAAGACAAAAAGCATTTCAGAAGTCACTCTGCTCTCACAGAGGGTTAGTTTAAAGAAGATCTTTTAATATCCTTACTGTGGGAGGCCAGGACAATCTTGGCCACTGGTGTGAAGTCATATCATATTTGATGGCCTCTTTCTTTGTGGGGAGCTGGACCGGGCAGAGCAGGAAAGGGTGGTGGAGCATTTTGGAACTATCCCCAAAACAGGGAAGATGGGAGGAAGGAAGGAATAATTCCCTGTTTTCTCTTTTCAGAAATAATAGAATAACAGAATAACATTTAATAACAGAACAGAATAACAACAACAACAATAATAATATACTCAGACATTACCTTAATAGTTCTTTGGTCCTTGGTTAGGACTTGAGCTGTTAAGTTTTTACTAGTTCCAGATTGTGAATCAAATTGAAGATTAAATCTATACTACTACTAATAATAATAATAATAACAAAAACACCATCTGAAATAGAATTGCTGCTCAACACTGTCCGTATATATAACCAAGATATTGCAATGGAATTTGGATTGGACAAATGTGTCACACTCACTATCAAACAAGGAAAAATAGTGAAAACTGAAGAAATCAAAGCACTATTGTAGCTGATATCTGACTCCCCCTCTGAAGAGTTATTATATTTGTTTGTATTGTTGTGATGAAGGGTGGAAGTCGCTTCTCTCTATGTATCTTTTCTTTTTCTTTATTATATTTTTTTCTTTTTCTTCTTTCTTTGCTTGCACTTTTTCTTCTTTCTTTCCATTCTCTTCTTTTGCTTTAAGTTTATTTTGCATTAGCTTTACTTTTGTAATTAAAATTCTTCTTAATTAAATATTTTTTTAAAAACCCCATCTATTTGCCTTTTAATCACATTTTTAAAAATGTTCTGGTTTTGTTTATTTTTTTATATAATAGTTATTTTGGCTTTTGTTGTTATTTTGGCTTTTTTGTGAAATATGATGAAATAAATGATAAATGTGATGAAATAAATACAGATAGTTTCTTGACTTACAACCATTTGTT